TCTCAACTCATAAGTGTTTGCAACAACTCTGCAACTCCTTATATAAAGAATGGATTAGCTAACTCCTAATTCCAATAGATAAACAAATTTCCTTTTAGATAACTCCTATATTTCTTTTTAGATAACTCATAAATTTTCTTTTAGATAACTCCTAAATTTTCTTTTCTAATCCTAACCTCCTAGAAACACACTTTGATTAGGATTAGAAAACTTGCACTTTAAGTTTCTTTCAAGCTTATTCCAACAATCTTCCCCTTAAGCTTGAAATCTTCCTTAGAGACATCTTCAACACCAAAATTGAGAGTTCCACGCAAATACCTCAAAACCTGCTTCAATGTAGCTCCATGCGACTCCTCCATGATTACTTTATATAAGCGATTCTTTGATCTGTTTGCCTTCATAAGGAGTCTTCCATCTTGATCATGTAATGTCAGATAATCTCCTCTCATCCGAAAATCACATCCAGCCTCAGTTGCTTGTCCCAAACTGATGATATTACTCTTTAAATCTGGTATGAAATAGACATTAGCAAGCACCTTTTTCCCTCCATCTTTACTGACAAAGAGGATCGATCCTTTCCCCTTTATGTCGATCCGAGAGTCATCGCCGAATCTTACTTTGCCTGTGACCTTCTCGTCAAGCTTTGAAAAGTAATTTCGGTTTCCAGTCATATGGTTACTAGCACCATTATCCAAATACCAAACATTGTCACCTTCGTGGATTTTTTCAAACTCGTTTGGCTTCACCCTTTTCTCATTCAGATACACCACTTCGTGCATCATGAGTCGTTCAGCTTCATGTGTGTCATCAACGTCTTCGTCTTCCTGAGTCTCTTGAAGTTTGAGAAGTCTGTCAGGGAAATTAGAAGCGTAATGCCCTGCTTTGTCGCATCGATAGCATGTTATCTCTGACAAATCTCTGGCTCCATTGAATCGTCCACGACCTCGTCCTCTGCTATAGAAGCGTCCTCCTCGACCTCTGCCTCTATTCTCTCCACTGTAGTCACGATTTTCCTGAGGTTCCATGTTTGCGTACATGAGCTTGCTTTGATCGTCTTGCGTTTCTTCTTCTTCTTCTTCTCGAATACGTTCTTCGTAGGCTTTTAGTCTTCCGACTATGTCTTCGAAGCTTGTGGTGTTCAAGTCTAACACCTGCTCAAGTGAAGCTACCATGTGTATATATTTCTTTCTCGGAAGACTTTTGAGAAACTTCTTGACAATCTTCGGTTCCTCAATAGTTGTTCCTAAAGCAGCCGACCTTGAGCAGATTTCGGACAATTTACCACTAAAATCATCTATCGTCTCTGAGTTCTTCATCTTGAGTTTGTCAAACTCGGCCATAAGAGTCTGCAACCTTGCCTCTCGCACCCTTTCTGCTCCTACATGTCTTGATTTGATTGCATCCCATACTTTTTTTGCCGTGTCTAACTTTCCTACCTGTAGAATGAGCGTCTCGGGTACTGAATGAAAGATCAGGGCCATAGCAACATTGTTCTTCTCACCATCGGCCGCCTCTGTTTCAACAGTCTCCCAGACCTTGTGTACTCTGAGCAAAACCCTCATCTGCATGGCCCATACGGTATAGTTGGTTGAGTTTAACATGGGGCAATGGATTGAGGAAGTATTCAGTGCTTTTGTACGAGTACTAGGAACGATATCCCCCATATCTTGAGCAACAACCTGAAGCTCTGATACCAATTATAGAATTGAGACTTAGATCAAGAATTAATAAAAGAAACTTCTTTTATTAGCTTTAGAAAAATTACTCAAAAACTAAAGCTCTCTTAATCCCTCTCTCTCAACTCATAAGTGTTTGCAACAACTCTGCAACTCCTTATATAGAGAATGGATTAGCTAACTTCTAATTCCAATAGATAAACAAATTTCTTTTTAGATAACTCCTAAATTTCCTTTTAGATAACTCTTAAATTTTCTTTTCTAATCCTAACTTTCTAGAAACACACTTTGATTAGGATTAGGAAACTTGCACTTCAAGTTTCTTTCAAGCTTATTCCAACAGTGTGCTTCGGAAAAGAAACGTGTTTCCCAAATTCCTTAATGACAAGGTATTTCTCCATTGCTATGCAAACAACGTAAATACTAAAATTTTGATATGTTTTGTTTATAAAAGTTTATCAATATTTTATCATAAAATTAGCTCATGCAGATAGATGTTAACATTGAAGATGTGTTCATTCATACTATGTTAACATGGTTTTGTAATTGAAGAATTTGCATGTAGTGTTGAAGTTCAAGAAGACTTGTTTACTATCCTTGCAAATAATCACTTGATAGTTTCTCGTGTTTTGTCATCACTCATATAATACCACAAATAACTTTCTGATTGGTTACTGATCTTTTAACTGGTCCAACTTAAGTATGCTTAATTTTAAAGTTCTCATTGAATAAGTGACCGAAAAGATAAGTATATTTTGATGACATATATAGCAAAACCAGTTTCTTAGGCATCTCCACTTGCATTACCATAACCAGAAATTAGGATGTTACAATCACTCTCCTCCCCTTCACCATAGCACAACAACTTCATTGCACACCAAAACTGTTACCCCGGCTGACATGACTCCAAAAAAAATATTGGGCTAATGGAAATCAACAATTTATAGAATCAAACCCTGACTTTGACTCACATTACGAATCCTTTACTAATCTAATTCAATTACTGCATCAATACCATTTGGTTAGTTTCTAGTCAGCTTTTATAGGAAAGTTTGAAAACTTGAAACTTCATAATGAATGTTTGATCACAATGCTGTTCTGTTATCTTTCAAAAAGTATAAACAGTTAAGAGTAAGACCAATATAATTAAGAGTTTTGGTTTGAATGTGTTACACAGAACAAAATGTTACAAAACCTTATAATGTGTATAGATGTTCATTGTGTGCACCAATCAATGACTCGACTCATTCACATGATATTTTTTTGGGAGGATTGCTAAAAGTACCTTAAAAAGTTGGTAACTAGTAGAATAATCTTACAATCTCGAAATTAGCAGAACAATTTTCCTTTTGGAAATATCCCAATTTTACCCTCAAGAAGCTTTGGTGATAAAAAACAGGTTTACGAGAATGCCATTATTATTAAATTTCCACGTCAGCAGTAAAAATAACGCGCTAAGAAATAAGTTTACCATCGTGAATGGTAGAGATATTTTTGTTGGTATATTTAAATATTTGTGGGTAGATATATTATCCGTTGATAGATTTATGTAAATGTTGATAGATTTGTAAAACTTTGGTAGACTTATATTCAACGTGAAAATAGATTTGATTTTGTTGGTAGATATAATATTTTGTTGATAGATTTTTTGTCAAGTAAGGTATACTTATTTCGATTTGATAGATATAATGATGGAGAGTGACTTTGAAGGGGATTGGTTGACGAAATTAGTAGAGTTAATGACCTATAAGAAATTAGTCTATTTTTAATCTACTACAAGAGATTTATTTTCTTAGTGATATATTTATTTATGATCATGGTAGATTTAAAAACCTAGACTAGATTTGTTATGGCGTAGTAGATTTGATTTCTTAGTGGTAGGCTTAAAATATCATTTTCGAACATGTGATGTATGATAAATTTATTAGACAATGTAATAGAGATATTTGGTGGTGGTAGACATAGTTTTTTTTTAAAATAGATTTATTTGGTTATAGAGTAGATTTATTTTTCATTTCTGAGTATCGATGTTGACAGAGTTGTTTGAAAATTAGTAGACTTTTTGAGAATTTGTAGACATATAAAATTTTGGTAGAGTTATTTCCATTCACTTGAAGGTAGACTTATTGATATGAAATGACTTTTTTTTGTCTAGCAGTTATTACTGAAATTTCTTGTTCCAACCACTGCATCAACTACATCTAGGGTAGCCGCCCTTTACTTTTGGTCGATGATTTCCTCTGTTTACATCCTTTGTTGATGTTTTTTCTCTTTCTTCCTCATCTTCTACTATGTCTTCTTCATGCATGGTGGATATATTTTTAGTTTGTGGGAAATGGGAATTTGCAAAAACTCGGTATGTGTTCTTGGTTGATAAGAGATATGGAATTCGAGCAGTAGCTGTTGATCGGGAAATCGAGTACTGTGATTTTCGACAAATCGTTTATGAGGATTTATGATTGGATCAACGGCGTTATGATATTCAATTTAGTTATATGCTTTCGAAGAGATCCAATCACAAGCTACCCAAACATATATGGTAGACATGTTTTCTTGGGAGTGATAGAATTTTTAATTTTCATAATAGATTTATGTATCATTTTTGTATACAGGAAAGAGTTGAAGGTGCTAAGCAACTAGCAGTGCAAGAGATTGACGAACATCTGGCACAGGTTACCAGTGTCTCATCCTTACATGTAGTCAATTTGGCAAGACGAACGTGTACATGCCGACGTTTTGACATTGATAAAATACCGTGTTTCCATGCCTTTGCAGCAGCAGAAGCTAAAATTTTTTTCCGAATCAGTCTAGCCCATCCTTACTACCGTACGTCATACCTCTCACCCGCTTACATGGGAATAGTAATGCCAAGAGATATTGCGATACCTGCACCTGAAGAAGTGGCTACAAAAGTCTGTCTGCCGCCTTTTGTGCATAAACCACCAGGGAGGCCCAAAAAATCACGAATGAAAAGTGCCTTAGAGAGAGAAATGCAGAAAAAACGTCCAAGGAAAGAGCACAGATGTTCTAAATGTGGCCAAGGCAGTCATAATCGTGCTACATGCCCACCATGAACTATTTCGATCAATTGTGTAATTTGTATGTTTATTGTTGTTTGAACTCTTTTACTTTATAAATCATCATATGAACACATTAATAAAAGTGTAATCAGAGTAGTCATAAATACCATGCATAACTAAACAACAAGTTTACCATACATAAGAACAAGTGTACTATACATAACAAAATAACAAGTTTACCATACATAAGAAGACAAGAAGTCTACTTAAAAGAATAAAAAGTCTACCATGATACAAATAGTTATCAGTTCATCTCTCTACTGAAGAGATCTGAAATGGCAGCAAACACAACCATAATAGCAAGAATCAAATACACATCACCTCGAACGGTGTATAGCTCCTTCTGGCTAGCAATTTCTCGTTGAAGCTGACTTATCTGTTCTGTCATATCTCTAATGTTACTGCAAACATTATTCTTGTAAATGGACATTTCCAGAGTGTCGAGACAACTCTCCAAACGAGGATCAAAAGCTTGGAGTCCTGCAAGCATCTGCAGTTTCTCGTTATGCTTGTCAAGGTTTCTCTTCACGCGGTTGAATTCCTCCATAATAGCATCGTCCCACCATTTCCAGATATGTGGTCCAGTCCCCTAAAAACCATTTCCAGATGTGTTCTCATAAAGAAACCACCAATACAAAGATTAATAATACTACTCTTACCTCCTTAAACCAGTCTAGGCATGCGTAATATTTTCGACCTGGTGTGCATGCACCCGTTGATGCTTCGATGATGGGCTCCTGACCACAGAAACATCGGTATGGAATTCCAAAATATGTGTCAGCGTACGCCCTGCCCATGTCCATTTAAGGTTCTTCAGATGAACTATCACTGTAACTTATTGGCATTGTCCCTGTCCACCAGAATTAAAGATAAAAAGTAAGTATCTCAACACCAACTCTACCACATAAGTAACTAGTCTACCTAATATGACTGGAAGTCTATAATAAATAATATAAGTCTATCACATGTACAATAAGTCTATCAAATACGACGAAACAATTAACAACAAAAAATAAATCTCGCCGATAGTACATGTCTGAATAGTTACCCACGACACGGTTGTTGGTTTAGAAAGTCGAAAAACATATAGCGCTATAATTTACAGAGTGTACAGGAAACCCTAATAATCGAGAGGAGAGGAAAGACGAACTGACCGGATGAGTGAAGAGGAGTTGACAGAGCGGAAGCGGAGTTTAGCAACGTTGGGAAATGAATCGAGAGACTACAAATGAGAAGACGTAATCACCGGTTTTATCGCTAACGCAAGTTCTCTGCGAATTTTTTTTCAGCAAAGGGAGACAATATCAGGGAAGTCATATATAAAGTTATTATACAACTCTGCCATACGTAAAAATAATAAGTCTACCATATAGTTCTTTCTACTAATTCATCGAACATATCTATAATAACAAATCTACCAGACATAAGTAATAACTCTACCATACCATAAGTAATAAACAATTGACAAATTTCTTTGGAAATGAAACCAAACCAATCAATCTCAAACAAACAGCTCTACTCAAACAACTGTACTACATAATATATAATCATAATATTTACCAGACATAATTAAGTAATAACTCTACCATAAACAACAAATAAATCTATTACAAAACATATGACATAGAACTATAATTTTTGTTACAAACAATTAATAACTACACCGGAAAACTCTTCGATGCACGTTGGTTCTGAAATCCTTCGACGAAACCACCGCCAAACGACTGCTTGCTGCAGTATAAAAAAAGAATTAGGGTTACACAACTTCTCTTTACTCTTCTCGGGTGGTTTTCGTCGCCGACAGAATCCAAAACGGTGAAGAAACGCGATTTTAAAAACAAAACAAAAACTTTGCGAATTTCTGGAAAACGAACCGAAGATTTAAATGATGCTTACCGGAGACGCAGAACACACCGATAAGAAGGACGGAAGAAGCACAGAAGAACCAGACCGGCGGAAAAGACGTAGAAGCTTTGGTCTCGACCTCAGACCACAGAAATCGTAGTCGTCGATGTCTTCTAAGGTTTTCGTTTTTTTCTACGATTACACAATAAATTCCTTTTGGTTGATATATTGAATTTTAGAATTTTGAAAAGTTATTAAAACAATTTTAATGATTTTCTGTTTTTAATATATATATATATATTGATTTATGAAAATATATTAAAAATCAAAATAAGTAAAAACAGACCTATTTGTAAAATTATCCTAGTGATTATTTTCTATATTTTTTTTGGAATTGCTAACTCGCAAACTGTATATGCGTAATAATTTATACGTCTGCTTTTGTCCATCAAAATTTGCTTCAGTTTTTATTAATTATTTTCTTGATAAAATTTTGTGTTATGAAGGTCAAAACCTCTTTTGTTTCGTCTTATTTAGTAATTACTATATCTATTTCACAATAAGTATTTTTTAGGAAGATATTTTGTTTTAAATTATATAATATTTTCAATTTTCAATGCAAAATTGATTAGTTGTATTTAATTATTTGTATTATGTAGGTCGTCTTTATCATCAATTAAATTATGGTTCACTAGGTAATAAAAATGTTTTAGTTTAGAAACATAAAATATTTTTAATGACTATATTGAACCATTTAACATTTTAAGATGGGATCCTTAGTTTTCTGCCAGTCAGTGATCTTTAAGATTTTTGGTTTGTTTGTTAGTACTGAAATGACTGTTTTACCTCCACTCTTGACTGCACCATGTATGAGAAATCCTTGTCTCATGATTTTATTAGGAGCTTGATCATCTCTATCAATACTATAAATCCGTTTTACCTCCACTCTTGACTGCACCAAAAAAGAAAAAAAATCCAAAATGTCAAAATGTGACTAAAAACTAAGAATCTATTAACCATCTTCTGTTTTTATGTCCCCCGACTTTTCAAGTCTAGGCGTTATCGGACTTTCCGTCCCTTCCGAGTGTCTTCCCGAGTATCTCTATTTACCAAAATATGAACTTTCTCTTTTGGAAAACAAAAGAGTTAGGCATGACAGATCCTCAAAAGGATATTTATCCTTGGATCCTTTGGTATATTTGGAAAACGAGGAACGACAAGATCTTCAACGGGAAAGAAATTTCCCCGGTAGATACTTTGATCCACGCCAAGGTTGAAGCCGAAAGTTGGAAGATTGCAAACCAACCGGAAGAAGAAGAAGACGGATCAGACGAGGCTCCGCTCACTCCTTTGCTCCTGAGTCCTCTACCCGATACCCCGAGGTTCCCAATTTGTCAGGTTGATGCATCCTGGATAGGCATCGGCCTGGTTAGTGGGTTCGGGTGGAGTCTGAAAGAGGAAAGAGGTGGCGAGACTTTTGGCCTTCAAGGCTGTCGTAAAAGCCTATCGGCCCTTCATGCCGAATTGGAGAGCCTATTATGGGCTATGTCTTGCGTGAAAAATAGACAAATTTTATTTGTACACTTTCAAACCGATTGTTCGGATCTGATTAGCATGTCTGAATCGCCATCAGATTGGCCATCATTCTTATCAGAATTAGAAGCCTTCTGCAATCTTCGGGAAAATTTTTTGGATTTCACCCTCTCTCATATCCCCAGAAGTTCAAATGTTCGAGCGGATAGTCTTGCAAAAGGAGCTCGAGCAAGAGGCTGTATTTTCTCCCAAATCATTCATACCGAGCCAGTTGAAGACGGTTTTCGGACCAACTCTTTAACAGGCCAAATGTGATGTAATAGTTGGATTGTAGAAAAAAAAAAAAAAAACTAAGGATCCCCGCTTAAAATACTAATATATGGTGCAAATTAGTCTATTTTAAGTTAATATTGCAAAATATATTTTTTTTTGTTAAAATATATTGCAAAATATAGCATTTATTTATAAAATCGTTAGTTTTTTAAAATATTTATCCAATGTATCATCCAAAAGTTAGATCTTTCTCATGTCAATTGATAATTTTGCCTATGCTTTTTATTAGTGCACATATTGTACACCAGACGCGCAATACTTAAAGACTGGAATCAACACATGTACATTATAGAAAGTGCTATTTTACACAAAGTTTTTGAAAGTGCTAAGAAACTAATTAAAATTCAAAAAAGTGTCGGTACCTCGAAAACTCTCATATTTTAATCTCAATTGCGCTATATATTTCAATTTATTTACTCTATCAATGATGGATCATATTTTGGGGTATACGTATGATTGTAAAAGTTACATATGTTAGTGTTATGGTGAATGATTTGAGAAGAAATTGGAACAAAACATAACTCATTTGCAATAAAACTACATGATTACATTTAAGCTTGGAAAGATTATGCACCTAAAAGAAAATTGATTCTCTCTCGAGGCGACAGCAATGGCGAGTCTTCCACGGTTCTATTAGGAAAATGATTTAGCAATGGTATCTAATAGCGATTTTATGGGTAATTTTGGCGAAGCATGACTCAGGAAAGAAAGCTTCGGTGGTGATTTGGTTTCTCCATTTGATTCGATGGGAAGATCTTCGCGAGTTTAGGGAGATCATTGAGTACATCGGATTCTTTGTTATGCCATCTGATCCTCTAACAATCTGGAGTAAGGTAAGTATGGGAAATGGTATCTCTGTTACGGTAGCTGTGGGATCTGCTGGGAATTGATGGGTCTCAATGGAATCAAGGAAATTTATGATCTGTGATCCATTAAACAAGGAAGTGATCTCAGGAATGAATGTGGACAAAATCTGAGGAAGGGTACAAACCGGATCTTCGTAGATTTTCAATCATTCAGGATGCGACGGATTTCTCTCGTGAAGATGGAAAGCCTGAGATTAGGTAATATGAGGATTGATTTAGGAAGGCTCTTTCGAAGATTTGCTTCCCCTAAATTGTTAGCGAATCATCTTAACGGTGAATCTCAGATTCAAGCACAGGATCTTCTCTGTATCAGAGAGTTAAGCGAGCAGACAGACTATATAAAGGAGGGGAGAGAGATCAATTTCATTCACCAAACACATAACCATCATCTCACTCCCATATTATCTCTCTTTCACAAGCTTTTGTATCGGTTCCAGAGGATGTCTCAAAGTGGTTTGATTAAGCATAATACGGCAGGGAAAAAGGTTGAGGTCTCTTTGAAACAGATGAAGATCACGGTGCCTCATTTTGACAACTCGGGAGCTCATCGAAGGTTACTCCAAAACACAGATCGGTAGGTGTATGAATCCACCGATGCAGGATATGAAGATGCTTTTGTATATGTTTCCGTGAATTCGGAAGGTTGAGGAGAGGGTAGCAGGTGTGGATTTGAGCCTCAGGAAGTTTCAATTTGATTTTGAAAGAGAAGAGGATATTACAGAGGTAATGAAGATTGAGCCATTCCACTTTGACTATTGGATGCTCTCAATTGTGCGATGGGCTCCTATTGTCGATCCACGATATATACCCATCGGCCATCAAATTCTAGGTATGAGTTATCAGTATACCTCTCCACTTCTGGGCTGATCCGACTTTCCGTAGTATAGGGAAAACACTAGGGGATGTAAAAGAGGTGAACTTGGACAATAGGAAAGTCCAAGTTGTGATTAAAGGTCTAGAGCCTTTATTCTTCGAAACAGTTGTTGAGTTTCATGGCGGCAAGGAAACGACAGTATTTCTGAGGTACGAGAAACGTTTTGGGTATTTTAGAGTCTGCTTCAGCCTTTGTCATGACCAGAAAAACTGCCGTAATCGCCCAGATTCATTGGAACGGAAGGTGGAGGAGAAATGGAGAATCATCATGAAGATTCACGACACGGCTCGGGCGTGGTTACCTACAAAGCTGCGGTATCTTACGGTTTAAATAGGAACTCTGGAAA